CGATTTCTTTGCACAAACTCTATTTCATACAAATGGAGTCGATTTACGATAACGCTTAAAGGGAATAAACGATTTCATTCCAACTTTGCACATCGTAATATTTCTTCCAAATTTAAATCAAATTTAAAGACGGCGAATATCAGTCCACTGCTTCTGGTACCTCGCCCCACATTACAATGAGGTTTTCATCTACTAAGATCAAAACTAAACAAATTACAGTCAATACGGATGAAAAAAATGTGTTGATTGGATTTCAAATTCTAGTTATAGATCATCAGACTCTATACTTGTCAATTTAAATATCTTAATCTTGATAAAGGTATTTAATGTTAATCTGCGTTACAAAAACGATTTAACAAATTTCAGCGGAAAATTATAATTAATAATTTATATATGCGATCTAAAAAAATTAACAATTCCCATTATTCTGTAGGCGTTGCATCGCTTAGATGTTCATAATATCGTTTAAAATGTATCCAGATTACAACACATTCGACACCTCAAGCCTGTGGACGGATTACGAATATCCGATTACAAATAATTAAAATGACACCTTGATTAAGAAGTTTGCGCATTTTAGCATTAAAACTTATTTGAAATGATAAATAATTCTATTGAAATGTAGCGCTTATCTTGAACGTTAAGTGCTGTTCATAGTTATTTTTCTTTTTGCAATTTAAAATATTCTTTGTGTTATTGTTTTTTTGGAATTTATTAGCAAACCCAATCAGCGGGCCGTTCATTCATCCATTCATAACTTACCATACCACGCCAAGTCATACCATGCCGTGTCGATCCATTAACAATGGGAAAAATAATTCAGTTCACAATTTATATTTCAATTTCAATTAAATTTTATTGTTATTTTATAAATACAAAAGTAAGAATGAGAAATATATTTACATTTAATTTTATTATTATTATTATTTTCGTTATTATTTATTAATATTACGTGTTAATTGTTAACTTTTTACATTGTATATTTGTGTGTGTTTGTATGTGTGCGTGCGTTTGAGTGTGTGCTATTTAAAATACAACTATCTTTACTCGTGGCAACTAAGTGGCATAAAAATGTAATTTAAATTTTAAACTACTACTATAAAAATGGAGCAATCATAAATAATTTAATACATATATAATTTGTATACTACTAATGTAGGTTTGTTCTTGTTTTTCTTATAAATTCCTATAAAAATCTACAGAGCTTATCTAAAGTTGGGAATGTATTATATAAGTATATTACAATTTTCTAGCCTGTTTCGTTTTAAGATTGCATGTGGTCTGCCAAGGATGTCAATATTCAATTTGATACTTTGTAGATAAAAGAACTCAATCCATTCCAATTCGAGTTGTGAATAGCGATACTATACAGTAACAATTTAATTTAATGCATTGTAATGGAATTTTTTCCGTTGCAGGTTGAAGATTTAATCAGCAAGGTGTTTTGATGCAAACAATGTCAATCGATATAATATTTGTAATAATTGCAACTGTACACAAGGTAAATAATTTCTAAAAAAATGCTTTACCGGGCAAATTTCAAATGTATTTATGTATTTAAGACAGTATTATTTGGAAAACGTTTGACCCAATATGTGATTCAGATCGTAACAAAACTAAAACAGAACAAGTAAGAAAGCATCGATAAATTCAGTCGTGTCGAACCATGATGTGGCATCTAACATAGAAGGGAATCTTTTTATTGGGGCTATGCCAAGGTTTAAAACAAAATGCTGGACTACAGACACTTCGGTGAGGAAAATGGGCTAAGACCCAGAACATACCAAAAATGACGGATGATGAATGGAAATATTCTCCAAAAAAAAAAAAATTAACCCTCCTGAACCCCATCCAATAAAAACACAACAAATTTGATCCAACATAGATGAAAAATATTTCTGAAATCCCCGAACAACGAAAACGAGGAACAAATTCGGACCGAACTTTGGGTATTGATAGCCAAAAAAACCTGAAATCAGTAAGAAATTTAAGATGCGGGGTATATAGGGTAAATTGTCCAGATGAAAATTAAATATCAAAGACTCTGTTTTGGAAAATACGGCTTCGACGTGAACCTACGTAGAAACATAGTTATATTGAAAATGTTCGGGAAACAAAGATCTCATAATGCGATATTACCATCACCTCGCAATGCTAATATAGACACTTCGGTCCCCCAAAAGATCGACCGATATAAAAATTGTGATCGAAATATTATCCACCCAATGAGAACTCAAAATATTAAATTACGACCAACTCGATTGAAAATGTACCCAATATTGTTCAATATTTAACGATCATCATTTAAGCAGCCATGATGTTCGGGTCATAATTGTGGCCAGCAGAAAAACAAACAAAATTTGTACCTCATCGAAATATTGGTTTCAGACAAGTTGGAGTCCATGTACAAATGTGCGCATGATAACTCTCATTCAAACATAGTTTAAGTTCGAAAAAAGGGTAATATCGGTCCACTACTTCTGGTACCTTCCCAACAAACTGGTCAACATTTTGCCGATTTTTTTTTTTTTTTTTTGATAATATCATGCAAGTGGACTAATCGATTTGAACCACACCAATTTCCTACCAACGAAATAAATCATTCCGAATTCATGTGAATAACATATTTGAAGAAAGTTTAAAATATAGGCCAAAATTTCGACATAGATAACAAAAGATTTTATATAGGTGTTCCAAAAAAATTTTTTTTTTTTGTTTTGAAGATGCCCAGACCTATTCTTTGTTCTAATTTTAGCGCCTATAATTTGATATTCGTTTTCGCAGAGTTGTGAAATATTTATTAGCGAAAAATAGTAATGTAGCCCCATGTTCTTACATAGCACCCAATAAAAATCCATATCGTTTTTTGGTATTTCACGATGAAGCGTATTGGAAATACATTTCTTCCTTTTTATACCCTCCACCATAATATGGAGGGTATATTAATTTTGATTTTCCGTTTGTAACTCATCGAAATAATCATTTCCGATCCTATAAAGTTGCCGGCAGGTCAAGTTGCGCTTCATCGGTCCACGTTTAGGCATTGCTCCCATATAAGGGTACCCTCCAAGTTTCGGTATTTTGGGGTTTTGGGACGCGTTTTTCAACCGAGTTCGTTGAAATTTGCTACATTCGGTTCATATTGGATACTAAATGTCTCCACAAAAAAATTATTAATATAGGTCCACTTTTTCTGGTAGCCCCCATATAACGGTACCTCCTAATTTTCAGTATTTTGGGAGTTTTGATCGTATTTTTCCGCCGAATTAGCTGTAATTTAGTATTTTGAGTTCTTAATAGGTACCAAATCTCTCCACAAAAAAATAATGAATATAGGTAAACTTTTTCGGATAGCCCCAAATATGAGTGTACCACCAATTTTCGGTATTTTCGGGATCTTGAGCGCGTTTTTCAACCGAATTTGCTGCAATTTGGTATTTTGTAGTCGTATATGTTAACAAATCTCTCTACCAAAAATTATTAATATTCGCCCACTTTTTGGGGTAGACCCCATATAACCCCCTTTTTTTACCCTCCACCATAGTATGGAGGGTATATTAATTTTGTCATTTCGTTTGTAATTCATCGAAATATTCATTTCCGACACTATAAAGTATATATATTCTTGATCACGGTAAAATTCTAAGACGATATAGCCATGTTCGTCCGTCTGTCCGTCCTTCTGTTGTAATCACGCGATCTTCTGAAGGAATTGATATAGGGTGCTGCACAGGTTTGTCTTTTGTCCGCAGGCAGGTCAAGTTCGAAGATGGGCGCGTTTTTCAACCGAATACGCAGAAATTTGGTACGTTGGGTTCTTAATAGGTTCCAAATCTCTCTACAAAAAATTATGAATATAGGTCCATTTTTTGGGATAGCCACCATACAAAGATACCCCCAATTTTCGGTATGTTGGGTTTCTTGAGCGCGTTTTTCAACCGAATTCGCTGCAATTTGATATTTTGTAGTCGTATGTGGTAAGAAATCTCCCTACCAAAAATTTACGTAAGGTTCGATAATGAACTGTAGCCGCATTTAGACCTAGCCCCTGTTTGGAGGTTCCAGAAGAGTGGACCAATATTCCCCATCTTCGAATTTGGTAGAAATAATAAGATGGGCAAAGTTCGGATGAAATCTAAATTTTTTGAAACGGATTTGGTCCAAAGAAACATGGCGTCTAGAACCAATATTTCGATGAGGCACTTTTTCACCGTGTTAAAGTGTATACACCCTCATTAGCCATAAGGCTGAAGGTATAATTATCCTTTAAAAATTTCTAAAATTTGTATTATGGTTAACATAATCCGTGTTCAGAAATCTCGGTATAGGTCCCCATTTTGGTATGTTCCCTATATTTTCATTTCTAGTAGCTGTCAATATATCTATGGTGGAGGGTATCCACCGCTTTTTCACTTCTTTATATTAAAATAGTCTGATTTGTTCCGCGTTTTGAGTTTGGTTCTAAGACTCTGTTGTAATCATTTCACCTGCTGAGAATAGCGAGATAAAAAATTAGAACGTAAGGTTCGATAATGAACTATAGCCGCATTTAGACCTAGCCCCTGTGTGTAGGTTTCAGAAGGAGTGGACCGATATTCCCCATCTTCGAATTTGAATTATCAATTAAAAATTTCTGAAATTTGTATTATGGTTTACATAATCCGTTTATAGACATGTCGGTATAGGTCCAGTTTTTGGTATGTTCCCTATATTTTCATTTCTAGTACCTGACAGTATATCTATGGTGGAGGGTATCCAAAGATCGGCCCGGCCTAACTTAATGCTTTTTCACGTTATCATTTACATCGAATTTCTGAATCATCAAACATATTAAATTTCTGTTGCATAGTGTCATTTACACATTCCTCCTCTTTGCGTGTATCAAATTGTTGCAGCCCAGCAATTAACCTCAAGCAATCTTAATGAGATTTAAGATTTCTTCTCATTCTCCTCGACTTCCTTTTTCACATTTTTTGTTTTTGTTTTTCGTTTTTTCTTAGTTAAATATTATTTACAAGTAAACTCTTCATAGTTCTCCTCACAGACATCACATTGCACCTGACAGCACCATTTAAACTGACAGCGACACTGGGTGGTGCGTCGTATTTGTTGGGTATTATAGCCACGCTCACAGCAGAGCAGATCACAGCTTTGGAAACCATGCAAGGTGCGATTGCAGACACGGCCCTGAGTGCCCAAAACGCCCTCCTGCACATTGCGTTCGCAGTAATTTGGCGATGTTTGCAGATAGACCAAATCCATGCGTTTGGGATAGTTCATCACCTTGCCGGCACGATTTTTTCTAAAGAAAGAAAAAAAAACAAAATTTTAAGTTTTAAATTAGTTACCACAAATTATTAAAAAAAAAATGAACTACGAATGTGAGCAACTCACTTGCTTAAAACTAGTTTCAGTCCATTTTTGCCTTTGGCGGCTTGAACAATTTTGGCTTTATTGTATTTCTTCATTAGTACATCGCCCACCACACGAAACGAGGGTAAACTCTTCCAACAGGTCTTCATGACACAAGACCCACTGACTCCATGACATTTGCAATCGGTTTTCAGGAGATTTTTGACAAGCTGAAGGGGGAAGGAGAGAAAAAAATTATATCTGCGATTCGTAGTTACCATTAGTCCATTTATCTTACCCTCCGTCCGGCTCGATTATTGTGCAAATTCATAAGACTTCTTGCATCACCCTCAATTTCTCGGGCATCTAAGAATTTACGGGCAAATTTCATGCCAAATTCGATGTCCGCCGAACAGCCACCCCATTTCCAGGGCTGTTGACCACCGCCAATTCCGCTCTCAAACTCCGCCTGAATACCACGCCGCGTTGATGTGGCCTTATGCCGCATATCACAGCCGCACAGTGTGATATTACCACGGGCACATGCCGCCGTCACAGCATGAGCTGCTCCCGCACTTGCAATGGCATAGGTGAAGGCAGCCTCACGAGATCCTATTCGGGAAGGAAAAAACATTAACAGGGTATTGAAAAAAATCTTTGAGTACTAAAAATTCGGGAAGGAAAAAACATTAAAAGGGCATTGAAAAAAATCTTTGAGTACTAAAAATTTCTATTTGAACAGGAGTATTTTCCTATAGTTATTCCTAAAAAATTTGCAAATTATTTTAGTGGCAAAATTTGCTATAGAAATTATTTTCGTACAAAAAATTTCCTATAGAAATTATTTTCGTACACTAATAAAATCGTATAGAAATTATTTTAGTACCCGAATACTAAAAAAAAATCCTATAGAGTACTAAAAATTTCCTGCAGAAATTATTTTAGTACTCGAGTACTAAAAATTTCCTACAGAAATTATTTTAGTACCTGAGTACTAAAAATTTCCTATAGAAATTGTTTTAGTACTCGAGTATACTAAATAACTTCTATAGGAAATATTTAGTCCTTTAGAAATTATTTTAGTACTCAAGTAATCATTTTGGAACCCGTACTAAAAATTTCCTACAGAAATTATTTAAGTACTTAATATTTCCTATAGAAATTATTTTAGTACCCGACTACTAAAAATTTCTAAAGAAATTATTTTAGTACCAGAGTACTAAAAATTTCTTAAAGAAATTATTTTAGTACCAGAGTACTAAAAATTTCTTAAAGAAATTATTTTAGTACCTGAGTACTAATAATTTCCTATAAAAATTATTTTAGTACCCGAGTACTAAAAATTTCCTATAGAAATTATTTTAGTCCTACTAAAACAAATCCTATAGATTATTTTAGCACCCGAGTACTAAAACAAATCCTATAGAAATTATTTTAGCACCCGAGTACTAAAAATTTCCTATAGAAATTATTTTAGTACTCGGGTACGAAAAATTTCCTATAGAAATTATTTTAGTACTCGAGTAATTATTTTAGTATCCGAGTACTAAAAATTTCCTATAGAAATTATTTAATTATGCGAGTACTTAAAATGTCCTATAGCAATTATTTTAGTACCCGACTATACTAAATAACTTCTATAGGAAATATTTATTCCTTTAGAAATTATTTTAGTACCCGAGTACTAAAAATTCCATATAGAACTTATTTTAGTACCCTAGTAATTATTTTAGTACCCGAGTACTTAAAATTTCCTATAGAAATTATTTTAGTACCCGAGTACTAAAAATTTCCTATAGAAATTATTTTAGTATCCGTGTACTGTTTTAGTACCCGAGTATACTAAATAACTTCTATAGGAAATATTTAGTCCTTTAGAAATTATTTAGTACCCGAGTGCTAAAAATTTCCTATTGAAATTATTTAGTACTAAAAATTGCATATAGAATATTTTTAGTACTGGTTGCAAAAGTTCTAAACATTTTCTATAAAAATCCGTTAGTGTTAAAGTACAAAATATTTTCTATAGAAATTATTTAGTATTTTAGTACTAAAAACTAGATTTCTACACATTAATATTTGTACTAAAAAAATATCGAAATCTCTCTACTTACCAACAAACATAACATGTCCAAAGACATCTTTCTTCCACACCTCCGAACAATTCCAACGATGCCCCCGAAATTGATATTGGCATTCATGGGCACCCAATTGATGACCCTCGCCCAATGCAATAAATGCATCCGGTGATTCAGAGCATAGCTGCCGCTGTTGGGGCGTCAGGCCAGGTATGCGAGCACACAAAAGTGATGATGTAAAACTGGATACTAATCTGACAAATAATTAATCGAAATCGAAAGCAATTTGTTAATAAGCGTTACAATAATGACATTATACTAGACAGCAGCAGCAACAACAAAAACAGCAATAAAAATAACAATAGACACGACCCGACAATATTTCCGAATGACAAATCATCAATTGTTTTGTTCATGGGGAAGAGATGTTGTTATGACCCAACTATTAAAGATCCCATCCATAAGATCAGATATGAAGCCCGGTTAAATATTAGTCTTCCATTGTGTTGTTGGGTTTTTTTCTTCTCAAATTCAATTCATTCGCCCGTTCGATGGTTCGCTCCGTTCGTTGGTTTGTTCGTCCGTTCATTCATTTAGTGATAAATATGCCTTCAAATAATTAAAACCCACACACCGAGCTGCTAAACAATACTGGAGTCATATATTTAACGTTATTACGACTACCAGCTATATGTCTGCTCCAATAGTTTGTATTAGAGTTTTGGTTGGTGTTGTTGTTGGTATTATTGTTGCTTTTGTTGGATTCCCGAACAATATGAATAGGTTTAGTGCTAATACAAGCACGGTGTTTCAAAACATAACAATATATGGGCATACTAGCAGATACTTTTATATAGCAAAGACAAAAACCAAATAAGTCTCATTGCTCAGATTTTTTCCTATACGGAAAAAGTCCTCTCGCCATAGCTCAAAAATTGTTTCCATAGGAAAAACACTTCTCGCCATGGCTCCAGAATATACGGAAAAAGTCTTCTCGCCATGGCTACAGAATTGTTCCTATACAAAAAAGTCCTCTCGGCATGGCTCCAGAATTTTTTCTATAAAAAAACATCCTTTCGCCAGGTTCCAGATTTTTTTCTATAAGAAAACGATCTCTCGCAATGACTCCAACATTTTTTCTATACTAAAAATTATATATGGACAAAAATTTTTTCCAAAGAGAGAGGACGTATTCCATATAGGAAAAAATTCTCGAGCCAATGTGAGAGGACTTTCTCCGCTTCGAAAAAATTTTGGAGCCATGGTGAGAGGACTTTTTTTCGTTCTGGACTTTTTTTTCGAGTAGAAAAAAAAATTCTAGAGCCACGGCGAGAGAACTTTTTCGTATAGAAAAATTCTGGAGCCACGGCGAGAGAACTTTTTTCGTGTAGAAAAAAAAATCTAGAGCCATGGCGAGAGAAATTTTTTTGTATAGATAAAAATCTGGAGACATGGCGAGGGAACTTTTTTCGTATAGAAAAAAATCTGGAGCCATGGCGAGAGAACTTTTTTCGTATAGAAAAAATTCTGGAGCCATGGCGAGAGGACTTTTTATTCCCTTCACCACACAGTGGTACTGGGTATTATGGCTTTGTGCATATGTTTGTAACAGGCAAAAGGAAACGAGATAGACACGTGGTTCCTTTTGAGGATATGCATAGAACCACTTTCTGAGTCGATTTACGCATGTCCGTCCATCCATGTATTTTTGTGAACAAAGTACAGCTCGCATTTATGATCCGATTTGGATGAAATTTGGCATAGGTCACTTATTTGGCCCAAGGACGAACCCTATTGAAATTGGGAAAAATCGGTTCAGATTTAGATATAGCTCCCATATATAAATGGTGCACCAAAGTCCCTATATATCTTTCGATTTGCACGAAATTTGTCGCTAGAATGATGTGTGCTGAGTTTCATTAATATCGGTGCAGATTTAGATATAGCTCCCATATATAGTTTCGTCCGATTTTATGTAAATAGACCAACAATGTCCCTATATATCTCTCTATTTACACGAAATTTAGCATATCGTATTCAATTAAGTCTAGAAGGATATGTGAAATTTCGGAAAAAATCGGTTCAGATTTAGATATAGCTCCCATATATATTTTCGTCCGATTTAATGTAAATGGTGCACCAAAGTCCCTATATATCTTTCGATTTGCACGAAATTTGGCGCAGCGTAATGAATTAGGCCTAGAATGATGTGTGCTGAGCTTCATTAAAATCGGGTTTTATTTAGATGTAGCTCCCATATATAGTTTCGTCCGATTTTATGTAAATGGTCCAACAAAGTCTCTATATATCTCTCGATTTACACGAAATTTAGCATATCGTATTCAATTAAGTCTAGAATGAAGTGTGCTAAGTTTCGTGAGAATCTGTTCAGATTTAGGTATAGCTCCCATATATAGTTTCGTCCGATTTAATGTATGGTAGCTCCCTATATATAGTTTGCACGTTTGGCCGATTTAATGTAAATGGTGCACCAAAGTCCCTATATATTATTCGATTTGCACGAAATTTGGCAGAGCGTTCTGTACTAAGTGCAGAATGATGTGTGTTGAGTTTGGTGAAAATCGGTTCAGATTTAGATATAGCTCCCATATATATTTTCGTCCGATTTAATGTAAATGGTGCACCAAAGTCCCTATATATCTTTTGATTTGCAAAAAATTTGGCATAGAGTTCTGAATTAAGCCTAGAATGGTGTGTGCTAAGTTTCATGAAAATCGGTTCAGTTTATGATATAGCTTCCATATATATTTTCGTCCTATTAAAGGTAATTGGTGCACAAAAGTTCCTATATATCATTCGATTTTCACGAAATTTGGCACAGTGTAATGAATTAAGCCTAGAATGGTGTGTGCTAAGTTTCATGAAAATCGGTTCAGTTTATGATATAGCTTCCATATATATTTTCGTCCTATTAAAGGTAATTGGTGCACAAAAGTTCCTATATATCATTCGATTTGCACGAAATTTGGCACAGTGTAATGAATTAGGTCTAGAATGATGTGTGATGAGTTTCATGAAAATCACTTCAGATTTAAATATAGCTCCCATATATAGTTTCGTCCGATTTTATGTAAATGGTGCACCAAAGTCCCTCGTTGAAATTGGTTCATATTTAGATATAGCTTCTATATCTGACCAAATCCAATTTCATTTTGATGGTCCTTTAAAAATGCGACGTCTGTTAGGATTCATCTGTTGAATATACGTAAGGTTGTGAAGGGTATCATATAATCGGCACCGTCCGACTTCACTACTTTCCTTACGGGTTTGGTATAGAAAAAATTCTGGAGCCATGGCGAGAGAACCTTTTCGTATTTAAACATTTCTAGAGCCATGTCGAGAATACTTTGTGTTGTGTTCCAATTTTGTGAGAATGACAATCGTTCTCTTCGCTAAGTACTGTGTCATTTCCATTGCGCATGTGCAACATATGATGGGTATGATATGTGTTAGTTGTATCGTGTTGTTCTTGTTGTTTTTTGTGCTTTTATTGCGCCCCCTAGTAATTGGACTTGGAGAGGCTTGTTTGTTGGGTACTAAGTTTATTGTAATTGAAGGCGTTGTTGGTGGAGGTGGTACTGGTGGTAAGTCATGAATTCATGAATGAACCAACGACTGAACGAATGAACCACTGACTGGCGGCATTTATCTATAGTTGTTGTTTTTTTTCTAAAACACAAACAAAAACAACAATGAATTGTTCTACAACAAAATGGTTGTTATTTTGTTAGCCGCCTTTTTTCTATCCGACATCGTTTGTATGTTTTTTATTTAAACATATTGTTGTTGTAGTTTTTTTTTTTGGTTTTGTTCTGTTGCCATTGTTGAACAAACGTTTATTGTATTTGAACCATGGCGTGGTAAGTTAACTCTCTAAAGATTAATGCGTTAACATGACGATTTCATGCTGTGTCAAAACGGCTACCTAAACCACAGATGAACAAAAAAACAATAAAGGGTTTTTTTTGGAAGGCGGAGGGAGGGTGGTGATGGGATGCATTACATCAAGCTAATGCTATGCCGTTTATTTTGAAAATTATTCATGTCTTATTGATGGAATCAATGGAATTTTTAAAATGAGAGGGACACACAAATGCCAGTTTCTAAAGATTAAATGGGGGGTACAAAATATACGGTTTCCAAACATAAAACAATTGATATACACATACATATGCAAATATTCTTAAAAGGTGTCATCGGAATCCAAAAATTAGTAGCTGAATATTTAAAAAAATTTTAAAGTTCAATTTTTTTAAAATGGCATTTAAAAAACTCAACGGCAGTTTATGGGTTAACGGTTTTCGCCATTCAACAATTTGTCAACAATTTTCTTTCTGGCTTTATTATTTCTTTATGTCTCATTCGTGTTTTCTAGTTTTCCAATAATACAATGACATGTTTCCATATTTGGTTGTTCGTAAACATTTTCCAATTAATTTAATCTCCTCTCATTATGACAACGACAATGATGCTGATGATGCTGCTGCTGCTGATATGTAATCTTATAAATAATCCTGTCTCTATTTGATGATATTTGATCGCTTACTTTGTAACTAATTTGTCACTTGACATTAAGTCATGTCATTAGCATTTGATTAGAATCAAATATGACATTAAATTCATAGCAGTTCGATGGATTAACATGAAATAAATAAAACATCTTGTCTTGTCTTGTGTGCGTGTGTTTTTTTTTTTTTTTTTGATTGGGGATAATATGATAGTTTAATAAATGTATACATGGATGGATATATGAGGGACGCTGCTATAGAGGCCTCATGTGTGACTGGCCTACCTGTGCGTGGTGCATTTTCGACTTTGTCAAAGAAAAACTGTAAAATGTACCGAATTTTCTATTTGTTCACTTCCTTTAAAATATTAACTTTATGTGGTTCTATATTCTGAGCTTTGGCAATATTTCGCGATATTTGCACCCTCTTGACCGACTAGAGGTCAACAAATGCAACAAATGATGTTCGGTTTTCAGTTGGGCATGTAGATCGACTCGAACACAAAATATTAAGATTTCGGTCCACTTCATTCCAAAATTATCACTTCATCAAATAAATTATTGTCCTTGACCATAACTGGAACATCATGTACAATCAGCGGTATATTTCCGCCCTCCAGTGTGGTAATCGGTTACTAAATAATATCTGAATAAGTAAGCACCTGCAAATATTTATGTGCAACTCCCACATCCGAGTACATACGACAATATAATTGGTATTAATTGAAAGGACAACC